TTTGCCAATGAAAGCCTAACTACACCCAAGGCTTGTCGATCCAACAACTTCCATTCTTCATCATACATGTCATCCGGTTGTTCGCCCAACATAGGCAAATGCAAACTTTTCTGATACAACATATCTTCAATTTGCATCTTCCAAAATCCATAATCGGTTCCATCAAACTTGTCAATTTTGATTTTACCATCTTCTGCCATTTTTGCAATTTTCTGAAAGAACAGGGACCTGTCTTGCAATTTTCTGAAACTTCAGGGACCTGTCTTGCAATTTTCTGGAACTTCAGGGACCAAATCTGAGTTTTTTAAATTCTGCTACAGTGACGCTACAGTGTCGTCTTCTCCGGCAGGTCTCCGGCGTACAGTGTCGTCTTCTCCGGCACGGCTCCGGCGTACAGTGTCGTCTTCTCCGGCAAACTGGTTTTCCCGATAACTATTCCGGCGAACCTTTGACCGGCGATTTGGACGTCTTCCGGTGGTCGAAAAATTCAGAAAAAAATATTTTCGGAATCTTCGGAACGAGACCTTTCCAACGGTATACACCAAAATCGTTTTTGACGAAAACAAATTTCGACCAAAAAACTGAAAATCACCTTCTGGAGCTAAACCAACGCTCTGATACCACTTGTTAGGATCGAGACACTTAACACACGACTCTAAACACACACACAGCTCACGAAAAACAAGAACACAAGGATTTAAGGTGGTTCGGTCTATTTCTGACCTACGTCCACACGAGGGTAACTTGGAGTTTATATTTCTTGGTGCTAATCTGCACTCTTTCTTTGTTACACTAGATACAAGTTTTTACAAATGAAAGGAAGAAGCCTATTTATAATATTTTGAGTCGTAAGCCTTTTCTTCCATTCACATACATGTGAAATTGATAAGGCCACCATTGTTGAAATTCTGCAGCCGTAACAATTTTTCCATGTTCACATGAGAGTCCTTGTTTCCTGCCACTTCTTTTGACTAACCCAATGGCTTCACACTCAACAGAGTATACTATCATGCTCAGCAAATGCCTTTTCTTGGGACAATTCCCCCATGTTAAAGCAAAATCAATGAGGTCTCTTACATTCCCAAATTGCCTATGTTGAATCCCACACCACCGGAAAATCCAATAGCAAACTGTTTTTGAGAATTCACAGGCAATCAGTAAGTGGTTAGTGGATTCATCACAAGTACAACACATTGGACAAATCCTGTTTTGTACCATTATACCCCTGTAAACTAACGCATCAGCCATCAGCTACTGGAATTCTTCCTATAGCAGCCCTCCATATAAAGCATTTAACTTTTTAAGGTATGCTTTTTGACCAGCAAATCAAAGGCCCTTTATATTGGTTGATTTTCGAGTCCACCACCCGCCTTAGACTGTTCGTCGTGTAGGTACCTTCTGAATTGGGTTTGAAATGGAAGCCAACTTTGAGTGATTGACTTAAAATTAAGTGATCCAACCAACTTGTGAAACTCATGTAACTCTAAAAGAGAGTCAGCATCAAAAGAAGTGTTTCTCCATTTCCATGAAAACCTGGATCTGCACAGTCTATCCATCAGGGAGTATCTCTTAACTGACTTGAGATTGTAGAGCAATGGAAATCTGGCCTGCATGGGATATCTCCGCACCAGATGTCCTTCCAGAAGAGAATTTTGATATTCGCACTTGGCACCAACGAGAACAAACTATTTAGGTCGATATTATAATGCAAAAGACTCACAATTGCTTTTGAAATATTACTCCAGACTCCAGTTGCGTTTTTATTGGTAAGATAATAGGTTGGGTGCTTTTCGAGATAGTGAATGTTGTTTATGACCTCTGTCCATATATAGCCTGTTTCGTTCTTAAGTCTCCACCACCACTTGGTGAGTAGTACGATATTTTTGGATTTCAATATACCAACCCCCAGTCCACCATTATTTTTTCTGATGTCACCTTATTCCAGTCTACCCAGTGTTGTTTTCTTTTTTCATCTATACTACCCCACAAAAATCTTCTTCTAAGCTTTTGCAATTCATCCAAGACTCCTTGTGGTGCTCTGAACAAAGAGAGATAATACGTAGGCAAACTTCCCAGCACCGACTTAATCAGAGTCAGTCTGCCTCCAAATGATAAGGAATTTGCTTTCCAATTTGATAGTTTTGCTTGAAATTTGTTAATTACCGGTTTCCAGATGTTTTTTAATAGCATGTTGGCTCCCACGGGCACCCCAAGATACGTGAATGGATAAACACTTTTTTGACATCCTAGAACTTGCGTCATGGTTTGTATTTCATACTCGGGAACACAGATACCAAACAAACGAGATTTTTGGAAATTGACCTTAAGCCCTGACGATATCTCAAAACATTTGAGAATCCTAGATAGATTTTTAATGCGTCCGGAATCCCAGACTCCTGAGAAAATGGCATCATCTGCATCAAACAGATGTGAGATTGTTAGCCCGCTATTTGGAAGCTTCACCCCTTAAATAAAGCGATATGCCAACAACACCTTGGATTGTCGTATGTAGTCCTTCCATAGGGATTATGAAGAGAAAAGGCGAGAGGGGGTCACCCTGCCTCACTCCCCTAGTGATATGGAATTCATCAATGGGAGTTCTGTTTACTAAAACTGAAGCTCTTGCTGATGATAAACACCCAAAGATCCACTTTCTCCATTTATTCGCAAATGTCACTTGTTCCATCACTGAATCCAAGTAGCTCCAGTTTATTGTATTAAACGCTTTCTCGAAATCTACTTTGAAGAGGAAGATTGACAGTTTGGTTTTCTTTGCCGAATTATAAATTTCATTCATAGCGAGTGGGCAGTCAAGTATATTCCTGCCACATATAAATGTTGATTGAACTTCGTCAACGACTGATCCAATAACCCCTTTTAGATGATTTGCTAAAACTTTATCAACGATCTTATAAATACACCTTATAAAACTATCTAAATGTCTAATTAGTAGTCTGTAAGCGAGATCGGGTCTTTCACCTTCAGGACCAAAGATATGAAAAACAGCTATCTAAATGTCTAATTAGTAAGAAAAACTACCATTACCTTTTATATATTTAACCATTAGATTTGAAACAAACCAAACACAAATTACATAGTAAAAAATAACTGCTTTAACTTAATTTAAAGTTACAATTTTTTTTTATAGCGGAGAAACCCGGATAACAAACTTTATCAAGTGTTTTGTTTGTATCAACAAAACTTATAATATTTTTTTGCTAATTTACTATATGTAATTTTTCTATATGAAACTTTGGTAATGAGTTAGTGTGTGAATTCGTCATATTTTATCTTAGCCCACAAATCGATCCTCAAAATATAATGTATAATGAACCTAAAAAGGTTATATTTTATATATTAAAAATAAATTTAATCATTTGTTTATTTGAAATTTAGTAAAAGATAAATTATATATTAGTATATTGTATAACTATACCAAATACTAAATGAATTTTACACTTGAAAAATTCTACTATTAAATATCAAAAAAAGGATATTATTTTTATGTAAAGTTTAAATAAATATTGTGCAATTAATAAATTCAACTAATATTTATTTATTTAAATGAAATAAAACTAACAACGGAACGTTAGGCTATGCAGTAAGGGATTCTATATATCTTTTGGAATGTGTGTATTTTTTTTTTAAATCTTGAAGATAGAAAACTAAGTTAGGCTATGCTATAAAATAATTTTTGAAAAGAAAAAAGGACTTAAAAGGGTAAATTCTACTCACTCATACTACATTTCAAAATTTTAGTTTTATTTAGTTTCAACTAAATTATAAACTATGGGTTTATATGATATATAGCAACAAAGACAATCAATAAAAAATACTAATAGAAACCTTCAACCAGTGAAACAAGTGACCACCTTTATATTTGGTCATTAAAACATTCTACTTTTATTTCAGTAAACTAAATAAGTATATATTGAAAATCTTTCCAAATAATAATTTATTCAAAATATGGAGGAAATCGAATAACGAAAGTGGTAATTCGTCAAAAAATATATTTTTAGTGACAATAACCAGACTTTTTATTGAAAAGTATATATATATATATATATATATATATATATATATATATATATATATATATATATATATATATATATATATATATATTTGAGAAGTTGCGTTGATGTGTTGCATTAAGAAAGTACACAAATATATAGAAGGTTGCATGGCGTCGTGTGTTTTTGATCGATGGCAAACCGACGTAGACACTATTATCGGCGGTGAACACCACCCCCCTATTTCTTTTTTTGCCGACACTAATGTGCCGGTGGTGGAAGTTCAACGATGTCTTTTTCCTCTTTTGTTGTCTAAAACCCTCATTTCTCCTTCTTTTTTGTTTCTTTTGCCAAGAACACCACCTCCTAATACCCAAATCTTCATAGACAAAACATTAAACTTTTAAGTGGAATCTATGTGTCATCAGTAAAAAAAACTCACCACACCGTGGAACCTAATATGTAATTATGTTTGTTATTTCAAAAGGAAAAATTGACGTGGCTTGCAATAATATCCATGTGGCACTTTGAAAGAAGCTTGAAAGAATCGATGTAGGTGGTTTTATATGTTAAAAGATAACTATTCGTCTAGAACCATATAATATACTTTGCATAATATTTTTTATAAGATATAGATCACATATATACATGGATTTGTAATATATACACTTTGTTAATAAAAATATATTCAAAAGAATAATAAGTAATAAAAAAGTTTTTATTAATATGCTAAAGTTAACGGATAAAAAGTTCAGATTATTATATATGTTTCTAAGTTTTATTTCAAACGACTATCATTTCCTTTGGTTCTCCATTAATGTAGGCATAATTTGACATCATCAATTCCTAATAATACTCGGCAAATAATTTGCTAGTCCATTCATATTTCTTCAAATTACATGCATCATTCATTATTTATAGCACGTATCTCTTATCAATCAAACACAAAAAGAAGTATTTTCGTTTTCCATTTATCTGTCAGGAACCATGAATCGCTCGGCAAGTGTGTTGATCTTTATTTCTTTCTTCTTTTTATCATTCACCGGAAATTTAAATCTCGTTGACGCCGGTGATACAGCCTCAGTTATATTGAATTCAGGAAATTTTGAACAATCGGTTATGCAAAGTAAAGATGTTTGGTTTGTCTTGTTCGGAAATCCTCGGTAATAATTTATTCCACATATACTTATTCTTTTTTACTTTATCATATTCAATTTTAAACCTTTATATATATATATATATATATATATATATATATATATTTTCAGGTGTCCAAATGTTAAACGACTTAAACCTGAGTGGGACAAGGCTTCAAAGGCTTTGGAAGGAAAGGTCAAGTGTGGTGAAGTTGACTGTGACGCGGAAAAAGTATTCCTCATTATTTTTTATAATTTAAACTAATATTATTTTATATAATTGTTTACTAATTGATTATAATTTTTCAGGATATACAATCAAGGTTCGGAGTATTTAGGTTCCCGACTGTTTTTGCATTTGGTCCAGATAAAAGTGCAGCTCCCACCAAAGTAACTTTATATATTGAAGGAACTGCAGCTGCACTTGAAAAGGATGGCCTGTCTTACTATGAGAAAGCGCAGGGGTGTAAAATGGACTTTTGAGTAGAGGATTGTATTGGAATAAGATTTGTTTGACTTGTTATCGAAACAATAATGGCACCTTTAACCTTGGTGTAAAAAACTAATAAAGAATAATTTTAATTTTGTGGTTTGTTAATATTTACTTTCCAAATCATTAACATATTTAAAGCATCTCCAATCAGACTTTTCACTAATCAATAACCACTTAAAACATCCAATATCATTAGAGCATATAACTTAATTTTTTTTTAAAAAAAAAACAAAATAAAAAACTGTTACCACTTAGGCACTTAATACTCTTCAATCACTTAATTATCCACTGTGATATAATGTTTACTTTCATCTATTCAAAATATTTTCATTTTATTTCCCAAAATTAGATTTTATATTTAATTCGTTGACTAATTAATCTAATTTATTAAATATTAAAAAATAAATTATATATTTTTATAACAATATAGTTTATACAAACAGCAATACCAAATGTAAGTGTGTTTAAAGATAGAGAAGGGACTATAACATGTTTCAAACAAATTAGGTAAATATTTAATTATTAAAAAAACTTATGTATTATTATTATTACCAAACACGGACACTCGATAACCGCTTTAAAGATCTCAGTCGTTCGTTACTTCAAACTTTCAATCACAACCCTTTAAATTCCATATTTGCAGGTATTTGTGATTATGTCAGGGCTTTCTTTTCGCCTCCGGTAGCTCCCCAATCTCCGGTTCCCTTGGCCATGTATCCACTTTCCTACCAATGGTTCCCTATTTCCCCTAAAACCAACCACCGTTATCTCACAAAACACATTTATGGTTTCTTCTCGGCTCCCACGACCGCCTGTGATGAAACTACATAACCCACAAAATCGTATGATTAGCAGTTCTTCTTCTTCTTCTTCATGTATTCACCCAACACAACTCCACTCTCTACAATCGGTCTTTTCAAGAACTGTAAATCAGTTTATTGACGGTTCTCATTTAAATACGTCTTCTCCGGATTCATTCACCCATAATCAACCCCTATTTTCAACCACCCACGATAAGGAGTTTTCTACCTTCTAAATCAGTAATCGACCACCCACGATCTACAGTTCCGACCTATATAATGTTCGGATTCTGTTCAATGTTTCAATGTTTCTATCAATTCCTTCAATTGCTTGATTTGATTCCTTCAATTATAGAAATTATAGATAATTTCTATAATTTATTTTCTATACAAGGGTCAAACCTGCCGGCATACAAAAATCTTAAACGTAGGGACTGTTTTTGTAAAAAATCTACCTTTCTATAAATTACAAAATTATAGGGACTAATATGTTATTATTGAAAACATTTTATATAAGGACTAAATATGCCAATATTAAAAATATTTTTGGCAAAAATCTAAGATACATAAAGTTTACTGATTATTTGGACAAAGTTATAGGGACTAAATATTTCAATATTGAAAATATTATATATAAGAGTCAACATTAAAAATATTTGTGTCAAAAATGTAAAAAGCATAAAGTATACTAATCTACAAAGTTATAGAGACTAAATGTGTTAATATCTAAAACATTATATACAAGGATTAAATATGTCAATATCAAAAACACTTGCGCAATAATCTAAAAGACAAAGTATACTATTTATTTCTCATTCTCTTTTAGATATACAAGGATTAAATATGTCACCATCAAACCCAACTGCTCAAACGGTTCGCTTTCTTCTATTACTATGTTTTTGTATCCATGATTTTTTTCACTAGGTTTTAATTTTTGTATTTTTTTTTTAATTTGTTTCATTGCATTTATTTCGAAGCTAGGTTTTACCGATTTTGTGTAATTCACATCCATCTTCTTGCTGTTTCTTTTCCGATCAGGTGTTCTTGATCTCAGAAGACAAAATACATATACAAAGTACAAGCTATGTCTGATATTTCAAGGTTAGTCTTCTATCTCTCATATTGCAAGGTCAGTTTTGTCTCTATCATATTAGAAAGTACAGCCTACATGTATGGATTTACTTCAACTAACTTCACTACATTAGTAGAGATGTCATTGTTTTTTCTTACTATTATTTTATGTGAATTCTTGCTTCACCTGTTTGCTGTCAAATGTTGGATTGATGCTCTTCTTAGTTTTTTTTTTTTTCAGGAAAAATGAGGATATTGTTTTTTCTTATTATTTTTAGGTGAACCAAATTGTTTATTACTTCATGGACATGATGTGCCTGCTTATGATATTAAGTTGTATGGTGATTGTAAAGGATTTTTCAATATAGTGAAGCGACCCTTAATAAAGTCAAAATGGCAAAACCACTTAACTATACAAATGCTTTAATTTTCATCACCAGACCAAATTTCATGTGAGTCTAATCCCTTTTTGTTTTTTCATGCTATTCACAAACATTATATAGTCCCTTTTCATTTTGTTTTTTTTTTAATTATATGCGTATGTGAACTCTTTTACTTTAAATCTTTATGTGAATTTAACTTGATTTTGTAGAGAGGAGTGTTCCTTCTGCTGAAAACTCTAGATTATCACCACTTCCTCATGAAGATGCAGACTTTTATGACAGGATTGCAGATTGTCCAACATGGGCTGATAAGTCGAACCGATGATGATAAGTCAAGTAAGATAGCATTGACTCCAACAAAGAAAAGATGTTGAACTGGATGAAGAAAAAAGGCAAATTTTCTTGCAAATATGTGGCTTTCCCTCAATGGCGAAGCCAGGCTCAAAGCAAAGGGGTATCCTAATTTTTTTTCCTGGGTATCACCGCAACAACTGAGCATGGGGCGGCTCGGTTAGTTTTTCCGAAAACCGAACCCAAAACCAACAGCCTCAGTTTTGAAAATTTTAAACCAAACCAAACCCAATACCATTGATTTGGTTTTTCGGTTTTCAATTTGTACTTGGGTTTCCTAGTTTGGTTTTGGTTTTAAACCCAAACCTTAATCGAATCGTTAGCTAACTTCAAGTATTGTTATATAAACATGAAGTTGAAGTATCTTTTGATACTTCAATCGATGTAAGTTTACATGTGTTTGGCGATGTGGGATAGGATAGTTGGGAAAATAAAAGAATAGAATAGTTGGAAAAATAAAAGATATGTAAACAAATAATTTGTAAGGAGCAAGAATTGATCCTAAAACCTTTATTTCATTAAGCTAACACCTTAACCAGTAGACTAACTATTTGTCTGTGATTATAAGTGAAGGGATCCGTATATATACACTACATAAAACGATTTTTTTTCTAAAAAATTTACACTACCGAAATTTTTTTGAGGGGTATCCCGGGCTATCCCGGGATACCCCTTGGATCCGCCCCTGCTTTCCTTATTATTTAGTGGCAAGTGATTCTTTAAAATCATCGTGAAGGCTTAGGATCAAAATTCAGAAGTCCATGGATTTTGTTGTTGGATTCATTCTCCATCAACTAACTAGAATATGTGTTAAGAAAGTAATGTTTCATTTATATTCAACTAACTAGAATATGTGATAAGAAAGTAATGTTTCATTTATATTCATCTGTCCTTTTATGCTTTTAGGGTTTGTTTGGTTCATGAATTATAGCAGAATTGTAATATGAGATTACATTCCATTGCATATTTGGTTGCAATAACTCTATTCCGTTTATACAAAATGAAACGGAAAACAAAACCCTTTCGGATCCATGTGGAGCATGGACATCTTCCCTAGTTCATATTCTAAAACAGAAATGAACTTAAATCCATTTAATCAATTAAGGAACAATCCTGGAATAAAAATGGATTAAAAACAATAAAAACCTCAAGGACGTATTTTAAACTTAACCATAACTTGAAGGTCCTAAAATGAAAAGTATTTTCCGGACATCAACAGAATCATGCTCCATCCACATACGCAATCCTCAACATTTTTGACATTCAACGCTTCGTCTTCGGTCTTTCCCATTCTCCATTGCCCCGCCGGAAGGCGCCAATCGATCCGAAACTACGAAAATGGCAATGCAAACCGGAGTTAGCACCTCCAAAGTTCTGATCCTCGTCGGAGCAGGTGCGTTTGTGTATATGCAAATTGCTTTACGAACCCTAGAACTTCGAGATTCGAAATCGTATGCTTATATTAGGGTAATCTTATTGAATGGTTGGAAATTTCTGTGATCTGAAGCTAAAACTACGTTCCGTTGGTTATTGCTGCAAAATTTTGGTCTTTATCCTGATAACAAGTTCTGTTCCTCATGAATTACGCCCGAACATTTTACGTCTATTACTTATTGTTGAAAATTTTAGGGTTTATTGCTTGTAGAATGATTTTGTAGTTTTGTTTCCAGTTTGTACATGTTGTAATCCGTATCTTATCTTTGCTGAAAAGGTCTGACTAGTTCTGTTATCTTGAGAAGTGGAAAGCTTTCTGATGTAATATCAGAGCTTCAGGAGTTGATGAAAGGTGTTAATGAAGTTGAAATCACACCTGGAAAGTATGATAGTGCAGCTCTTGCAGCTCAGGTATTTTTAAACTACTAGAATTGAGATTTGAGAATACATTTATTATCTTTAACAAATTACTTCTTAAATAGTTTTCTCATCTCATTCTTGGCTTCGCTTCAGATTCGACAATTGGCACAAGAGATTCGCGAGTTGTCCCTCTCACGTCCTGTTACAATCTTTAATGGAAATTCTACTTCTAGTGGTATGCCATTTTTGACTAAAACTCCATTTTTATTCTTAGTTGTTCATATGATCAACATTTTTTTCATGAATATACAGGGGGTTACTCATCTTATTTGGTGCCAGCTGCAGCCCTTGGAGCAATGGGGTATTGTTATATGTGGTGGAAAGTAAGACTTCCAAATCTTCTTGAATCCACAAAATTACTTGATTTGATGCGTTTATTACTTTATTACTTTATTAACTTTTTAAAATTTTCAGGGTTTGTCTTTGTCAGATGTTATGTTTGTAACCAAGAACAATATGGCAAATGCTGTATCCACAGTTTCAAAACAGTTAGAGAATGTATCTGATGCATTAGCTGTAAGTAAAATATCAAATCCATAACTTTTATAATATTTTCTTTATAAATGTTTTGCTTGTTATATTTGTGATTGGAATTAATACGCAGTCTACAAAGAGACATT